TGCAATCAAATATGCAATAATAATAGAGGTCAAGGTTTGGTCAAGGTGAATTTAGAAAAATTTTGGATTTTTCAAGGCGGAGGTCGATAAGAGTTGGCAACACTACTCATACTGTCATTATTGGTAAAATAGTTTAGGGTAATTCAATATTACGTATATCATGTTTAGATAAAACAATTTTTAACTATAATTTAATACATTAATACCTTTTAATTACATTAATAATTTTTTTATATATTAATACCTTATAATTAGGGATAGGACTTGCATTTTTTTTAATACATTGCAACATAACGTCATACATGGGATTTTACATTAAAAGCATTACTAACGGACACAGACCTATTAACAATTTTGATGTATATACAAAATTACACTTTAATATATACTTTTTTCCACCAAAATCCCATCCATACTTATAATACTTGACTGAATTAACACGTAGGCCTTTTAAGCCCAAATCAACGGCAATATATCAAGATAAATTTGTAACAACAAATATAGTTTAGTAATAATTTCTGATTGTTTAAACGCATTAATGAATACAATTACAATCGGTTCAAGTGTAGCAGTGTATTTTATTATATAAACAAGAATATTGTATTTTCTATTATCTATATAATAAATAATGTTGCTTGTTTAATGGAAGTTAATATTAGCAGCAATGTGACCGCCATCGGCCAACAATATTGTACCGGTCACAAAACTAGCATGATCACTGGCCAGATAGGCAACAGCGTGCGCAATGTCCAGTCCCTCTCCACACCGACCCACCGGGTATTTACTGCCCTTACGATCCCACTCAGCGTTGATTTGCTCATCACTAAGCGATAACTCTCTGGTTATGTTTGTGCGAACAGCACCCGGACTATCATAACATAATAATGATTAATCATGCTTATTTTACCATTTAATAGCACTAAAATAATTGTTAATAAATACTTGACTGAATTTACACGTATGCCTTTTGGGCCCAAATCAACGGCAATACATTTGGCAAACATATCCATCGCTGTCTTTGACAATATGCTGACATCCCTTTAACCTGATCATTGTTATTTTCATAATAATTAGTTGAGTTTTAGTTAATATATATAAATACTCGCGTTAATTATAATATTTTGTAACAGTTTATGATAAAATATAGTCCTTATAAAATATAATAAAAATTATTTATGATTCAACATGGGTAATAAGTGTATAATAAATTTTACACAATATTAAATATTAACAGAATAATAAAATGCTTACAGACTGTATGCCAGCGACACTCGAGATATTAATTATATTTCCTTTTGTTTTCTCCAAATATTGAATTGATTTGTGGGTTAAATATATCACAGAATTAAGGTTTGTGTCAAACACTGCCTTTTGATACGTGAGATATTCTGCGTCTGATATCTGGGAATAGCCTCCGAAACCCGCGTTATTCACCAGAATATCTAATTTGCCAAACGTTTCAATAGTTGTGTCGAGAAGTCGGTCGAGATCTTCCTCTTTGGTCACGTCTGCCACCACTGGAACCGCTTTCAGACCTTTCGGCGACACTTCTGTACACTCTTTACAAACCTTTTCCACATTCGCGGCGATACGTCCAGTAATAACAACATTGGCACCACTTTTGGCCAATAGTAAAGCAGTGGCCGCACCGATGCCCGAACTCGAACCAGTGATGAGGGCCACCCGTCCCGTGAAATC